ACAGACACAGCTTACCTGGGGCAGGTGCCCACACACACCCCGGGCGCAGGGACGCAGGCAGACTCTCTGACACAGTTGCCTGCGGGACAGGCAGACGGGCCCAGTGGGAACGACACACACAGATATATGTACACACAGACACCCACCCTGATGAGCGCATCCAGAACCACACACTGACCGAGCGCGTTCACACTCGTGACATTCCCACTGAGCAGGCCCGCGAGTGCGCACGCACCCAGGCGCACACAGCTGTCATGGATACCTGGACATACAGCGTGACCTAGATGGCACTCACCCGGGGACGCACACAGACACAGCCACACCAGCTCGCAGCTGACACAGTAACGCCGGCCAAAGTTGACCCTCACACCCCTGGCTGGTGTGGCTCAGTGGATAGAGCGACGGCCTACGGGATCTGGTTCCATTCCGGCCAAGGGCGCATGCCCCGGTTGTGGCCCCATCCCCAGTGTGGGGCGTGCAGGAGGCAGCCGATCAATGATTCTCTCTCATCATTGATGTTTCTCTCTCTCCCTCTCCCTCTCCCTTCCTCTCTGAAATCAATAAAAAAATATATATTTAAAAAAGAAAGACACGAACTGGCCTCCAACACACAATCACAATCACAACCTGTGACAAGTGGCTGCTCACTGGCTCACTCTCTGGAGCAGGCGCATGGGGTCACACTCGCCACGGATCTGGCAGGGAACCCAGGCCAGACGGAACCCCAGGCACCTGGCGCGAACATGCCCGGGCAGCCCCTGCACCGACTCTCACCCCGTTTGTGGGTTTCAATTCCCTTTTCCTTCTCAGTTGCCCATGGTCACTCCCACCCAGCCTGGCTGGCTCATCCCTGTCCTTTCTTCCCCCAGGGCCCTGGGCTCTGTCTCCCCCGAACTCTCCATTCCCTCCCTGCCACACCCCTACCCGAACCACCACGTCACCACAGGCTGAGCTGCCTCTGAGCGCCTAGCACTGAGCGGGCCAAGAAGAGGTGCCGGTCCTGAGTGATCGTGGCCTTGCCCAGGGGCTCCAGCTCACTTCCACCAGGGCCAGATCCTACAAATTCCCAAGAGACTCAGGACGTGCAGACCTCATTTGAACTCTCCCAACTTTAGATTTGGGGACGGGTTCGACCTCCCTCCTTCCTTCCCTTTCCCCATTCATTCATGCATACATTCATCCCCCCTTCCTTCAAACTGTGGGTCGAGAGCAAACCGTGGGTTGTCAAATGACTTTCATAGATCCCATTGTTTTTATTCAAGTTTATTGAGATATATGTACACACGACAAAATTCCCTTTTTCAGAGGGTAGTTGGTGAGGCGTGAAAAATGTACACTCTTGTATACCACCTCAATCAAGATTCGGAACATTTAGATCCCCCCAAATACTTCCCTGTGCTCTTTAATAGTCAGTTCCTTCTACCTGCAACTTGAATGGCTCTTGACCAGACTGAAAACAATACGAAATAGAGTGTCATTTAAAAAAAAAATCATGAAGTCAAAGGAAAATATTGTTTTGCGAAAGAGAACACAAAGAAAGTGTATTTTTGACTTTAAAGAATAAGTTTAAAGGCATTTGAGAAATGTGGCTTTATGTATTTATTTATTTTATGTATTTATTTAAAATATTTATTTTTATTGACTTCAGAGAGGCAGGGAGAGGGAGAGAGAGAGAGAAACATCAGTGATGAAAGAGAATCATGGATGGGTTGCCTCCTGCGTGGAGCCTGCAACCCTTGGCATGTGCCCTGACCAGGAACCAAACTGTGACCTCCTGGTTCATAGGTCAATGCTCAACCACTGAAATCATGCATGGAAGTCACTGAACGCAGTGTCTGACATGTAGTAGGCGCCTAATAAATGTTAGCATTTATCACTCGTGCAGCTGGGTGTCGTGTTTGCTCTGTGCCTGGCAGTGACGAAGTTAAGAGAGAGGCAGGCCTCAGCCTTGGGCTAGTTCACGGTCCGGCCAGTACCCCTCACTCACTGGTCAGTGCCCTCAAGCTGCCCAGTCTAAGACTAAACACCAGTAGGCCAGATGTGCTGGAATGACTTTCTGAGCAGAAAATGAGTGTGAAAAACTGGAGGAATCTGACTGGGGGGGAGGGGGCGGGCGGAGACCAGGAAAAGGCCAGAAGTCACCAGGCCATAAGCAGTGTCACACCAGTCACGATCCTTCCCACTATTTAGTCCAGATCCTGTTCCAAATGATGATACGCTATCTTCCGGGACCAGGCCCACAGCTGTGGCCCATCCCCCACAGCCGACAGGCTGAGCTCACCAAGGAGGCTTCTGGGTCTAGATGGCCTGAGTTAGAGTTCCCAGCTCTGCCATCTGCTGGCTGTGCGACCTTGGGCAAGTGGCCATGTCTCCCTGCCTCAACTTCCTCATCTGTGAATGGGGACAACAAAGGGCCCTACCTCGGGGGATTTTGCAGTGAGGAGGTCAATACAAATAAAGCACTAGGGCCTAGTGGGTGCTTCAGACACGTTACCCAGCATTCCTATTACCAGAGGGGGGGGGGCTCCTGACTCTCTGAGCGTCTAAACCAGGACTTTAAACTACGGCCCTTAGGTTGGGGCGGGGGTTTCAAACCAGTGGCCCGAGGGCCAGCCACGGGTGTGTTTCGCTTGAAGCGCACAGCTTCTCATTTTGAATAGCAGCGCCTCTCAAAGGGACGCACAGCACAGCGAAGTGATGCAACGCCCACACTGGGGGTTCAAAACCCTGGTCTTGATCAAGTCGCTTCCCCTCTCTGTGCCCCAGTTTCTTCATCTGTGCAAAGGAGATCACCATGGGACCCAACCTGAAATGTGAAGGGGAGATGCGTGCACCTGTGTAAGGCACGGGGAGCAGTGCCCCGGGGGAGCGGCCTCCGTGCCAAGTGCTAGTTGGAGAAATAAGTGTCCCAGCTCCTTCCCTGCAGACCCGCGCCCCTCCCCAGGCTCCTGCGGGCCGTTCTGGAAAAGTGGATTTCTGGGCACGGCGGCGAGAGGGAGTTGGGGAGGACTTAACTTTTCACTGCAGGGCCTGGGTCCTGGCTTTCCGCGGAGAGGAGGGGGGGG